TTGAAGCTTTTAAAAATCTATTGTTAAATTTTTTTTCTTTATAGGTGTTCTGGGTTTTCTTCTCTGCCTTTTAGATATTTCCTTTATCTTTGGTGTTCTGAAGTTTTACTGTAATGTTTTACATATAGATTTTTCTTTGATTATTCTATTTGGTATATTTTGTGGATCCTACACTCTTAGTTTCTATCATAAGTGCTCAGTAATTCTCGGCCTAATTCTCAACCCTTCTGTTATTGCCTCTTGTGTTCTCTCTGTATTATTTTTAAGGGACTGAAATTAGATATACATTTGACCTTTTTGTGTTTATTCTATCTTCCATAGTTCTTAACCTTTATATTTTCATGTCCTTATCTTTCAGTACTGCAAGTTCTTCAGTACTTGCTTCTAGTTCATTGTCTTTTTAGCTATATCTAATGTTATTTCATATAACTACTGAGCTTTTAATTTCAATGAATCTATTTTTTATTCATAAAATTTATATTTTGTCTTTTTACAATCTGCTTGGTCATTTTTAATAATCTCTTGTGTCTTTCTTTTTTTTTTTTACTATGTTTTTAAATTGCTTTAGACATTTCATAACATGATCATTCTATATTTTCCATTGGCTAATTCTAATATCTCCAGGTTTGGGTGGTCAGTTTATTTTGCTGTCTGATGACTCTTTCATGGTGGCCTATTTCACTTATTTTTTAAAAATGTGAGCTAATTATACAAATTTTGAGAATTCAGAAGGTCTAACATAAGATGGCTTTCTGCCACATGGGATCTGATTTGCTTCACTGGAGCCAGGACCACATATCTCCACAACCACTTTAGTTCCTATGGAGCATCCTGCTTTAATATGCAGCAACCTCATCTAGCAGAATGGTTTGTCTTCTGAGCCCAGGACTGCTATTAGAATTGGGAAACCTTGACTTTTGTATTTGTTTACTGGCGCTATTCAGGGTTTATCTCACTGTCTGTTCTCTTCCCCTACTTACTCGTTCTCTTCTCCTCCACATATCTTTTATCTTCATCTTTGAGGACTTCTTAAGCTTTATATTGAACACTATTCTGCTTTAAAAAAACAAGTATGTTGTAATTATGTAGGCTCTCCTTGATTGCCATAGGACCATCTGGAACATCTTTCCCATGATTCTATTAATATCAGAAATCAGTCCATGACTTTTGATAGCACTCAAGCTTCTTCTAGAGCCCTGCAGCATTGCTGGATTTTGAAGTGCTTATTATAAAGCCTCCAGCACTGGGATTGCATTGATTCACTTTATATGCCAGACTTTTTTGAGCTTTATGAAAATCTAATTATGTTATCTATCAGGTAATTAAACTGATTTTTTTTAAAAAGAAAATATGGACAAAATAAAATCCCAGATTATATCTGAAAAGAAGGCATAGGTTATATATATATGGTCTTCCTTGGGAAAATAGTTTCCAAGATGGATATAAATATGGTTTAATTTTCCAAAATTCATTCTCCTGGCCCATATTATCTAAAGATATAGAGGAAGATGGCTCATAGAAAGAACTAAATTTGGAGTCAGAAAAATGACCAATCTCAGCTTAGATACTAAGCATTTGTTTTTCAATAATGTAATTTAATTCTATGAGCCTGCATTTCCTCATTTGTGTAATAGAGATAATTTCTATTTCACACAGTTATAAGAATTTAAATCAAACAAAATAGTATATGTGGAATTACCCATGTTGGTGTCCAGTAAAGGAGAATAGAATATGCCATCCCCAAATTTGCCTTTTTGGCATCAGGATTATCTTGAGCTGATTATTTTTAAGAAATAGCAGATAGAACTTCTGAAAACTAAGCAGTTGTCCCCTTTGTAAGAGACCTTTACATTTGTAAGGGAAATCTCCACTTATAAGTGTGTTCCCCCTCTCTGTACCAGGAAGAAAAGGATGTTAACTTTAGAAAGTTTTATTAATGGAGAAACAACAACTTAAATCTGCGTAACAGCACTACCCTTGCTTACTGTACTTTGCCTGATAACCTCCCACAACTGCCTCTTTTGTATTTAGCTGGAGATGATATTTAAGGTGATTGGTGGGGCCATTTTGGGGAGTTACTCAGTTTTCCTGGGTATCTCCCATGTATACATGCTATTAAACTTCTCTTTGTTTTTCTCCTGTTAATCTATATTTTAGGACAGAGGGGTCTCAGCCAAGAACCTAGAAGTAGAGAAGGGAAATTATTTTTCTCTCCTATACAAGCACAGAGTAGACACTTGGACAGTATTAATTTTTCTTTCCTTCTTCTGAGATCTTTGAGCTAATGTGATTAAATGTGTGATTTCTAAACTATATCTTGAACTTTTATTAATATTCATTTACTTCTAAGACAAGTATATCAGCCTTATCTCTGTATTAAATTGAGAGTTAATTTTAAAAAATAGTGCAAAGTGAACTCCTACCTATACAAATTAAGTTACTTTCAAGATATGAAAAGTTAGGTCTGATTGTAGTTAAAAATGTGAACAATGCTTATGTAGCTTTAGTTAGGCAACATCTGGAACTGATCTTCAGAACTTTGATTAACAGAACCAACCTGATGAATCCCAGATGTTGAAACATGGTTGTGTTTCTTAGACTCACTGGATTATGAGTGTGAATACATGGAAGGAAGAAAAACATTTACAAGAACTAGGTGTCAAAGTGGCCGAGGGCGTATTTGGGTGTTAACTTAGTTGCAGGGGTGGGTCTTTCTAAATGAACAACCCTTTTAAAGTTTTATACACGTTATTAAGAAAAAGGTTCAATCTTGGATAACCTCAGTAGTATGTCTTAATAACTTTGCTCATGTTTGTTCCTGAAGAAATATGTTTTGAACATCTACTATATCTATAGTCCTGTGATTAGAAAGACAAATAAATAATAATCATTCCCTGCCTTTGAGTCCCTTAGTTTAATGAAAGAGGCAGGCCTGTGAACAGTAATTATAACTGTTGTATTAAAGGGCTGAGTGCAGAAAGTAACCACATTTGCCAGGGAAGATAGAGCAGTTTCAAAGAGGAGACACTGTGTTCAGAATTTCTATATATTACTTCTACAAGCCAGAATTAGCTGTGCTAATTCATGTGGGGGATGAACACAATTTTTCTACTCTCAAGGTTCTTTTGGCTGCTCTAATAATCAAATAGATATGAGACAGATTAGCAAGAAAAATAACCAAATTTAATACATACATATGTATGGGAACCCCACATACATGAGATCAGAGATAGAACATGGGGATATAAAACATTCTGAGCTAAAGATGAGGTAAGGGGCCTCAGAGACTTCAAAGGATAGTCGCAGAATAAAAAGAACAGATATTTAGAAAATAGAAGTTTGTCTTAACCTATAGATAGGTCAAAAAATGTTATATCCGATAAACTCCCGGTATGGGCAAGGCTCCTAATTCAGATCTTCCAGGTAATCAAGGGAGGGGAAGAAGCTTCTACTGAGCCCTCAGCTAAAATTGCCCTTAGCGTACCATAGAAGCACATCTTGGGGGGTTAGCTCAGCACCACCACAAATACAACTTTCACATACTTGTATGTCCCATAGATCATCGGACTGTTTGTCATATTGTTAACCACACACAGACTTCATTTCTTTTTCCTCTGATTCAAGCAGGCTTTGTCTAGCATAATGGCATTGTGACTCACTAGCTTTTCCCACCCTTATCCTTCTACCTTTGTTTGCCTACTTCCTTAATCATTAAGCTTAGAACATAAGGTTCTGGCTGATGTCAAATCTTTTAAGAATAAAGCCTCAGGTATATAGATCACAAGGACAATAAGTTTCCACTAAACTAAGGATAACATTTGGCTTCAGGAGTGTTTCAGCCTCAGGCCCATCAAGACAGAACAGCTTCACTGATCACTTTCCCATGGGACCAGACAGGATGACGCCTTGGCTGATTCCAAAACTGGACACAATGACCAATTACCACAGCCCCAACCAATCAGTAGCGCCCACGACCCCAACTCCCTTAGTCTCCATGGCTATGATTTTTCCCTATATAATTTAACCCCTCAAGGTACCTGGAGGGCCAGGTCTTTGAACGGTTGATGTGTCTCTAGGACTTGCAACTGTCTGAAATAAACCTTTACATTCCTTGCTATGAAACCTGTACGTATCTCATTGGCCTTAGATGTGCACAGGCAGACGGACCCTATACTCTGGTAACAATGTCATAAAATAAGTATTTTGATAATTCAATTCAGTGTCACATGATTAATCATTGTATAGACTTCCCACTGTTTGGTAAAGCTTCTGGAAAAACAATAGTTTAGTCTTTTTTTTTCCCTTCAAATTATGCTTTAAAGTGAAAGAATGCCTTTGCCTTTTACAACTTTCTCCTTGCTGTCATGTATGCCCAATGCTGTACACAGGAAGGAAAAATCAGAAATGTTCTGAGTTCTAAACTATTTTAGAAGCCATTTAGGGCAAAGGTGTAACTTTTGTGCCATACTTTAGTTCTCACACAATCTGCTCCATTTTTCCCCCAGGGAAATATCAAGTCGGAAAAGAAACAAACATGTGTCCTCTAAGGAGAAGAACCGAAGTTACTGCCTGACAGTAATTTTGAAAATTAAATGCATTGTTAACAGCCTGCTTTCAGAGGTAGAAGTGGAGATTAAGTATTAAATAGTAACCTGATGACAAGACTAAAAAGGCTAATTCTTACACAAAGTTTCCAGTGAAAACTAATGGCCCCTCAGGCTCAAATGCACCCCAACTCCTTTTTTTTACCCAGCCCTGACTAGCAATTTTTTTGCTTGTGTTTTGTATTTTATGTCTCAATACCTCCTTCATTATAGCTCATCAAACATAAACTGCCCATTTACTCCTGTAAATTCTTTCTCTGAAGTAATAAATGTAACTGTTCCCACCTCTAGAGAACCTACACCAACAGACCAGGGCTGTTCCCTCTTCTTAGTCTCCTGAGCCATCAATCCTTAACCCAGCAAATGTCTACTTATCCTTTAAAACCTGGTTTAAATGTCATTCCTCAGAAAGGGCTCCCCCAGTCCTTCCAGGCTTGGTAAAACTTACTTGCCACATACCCCTATATTACCTTATCAGATGGTCCTCATCGTGTCTGTATTTATAAGCCCAGTGTGTCTTTCTCAGGTGATTGTAAGTTTTAAGAGAATGGGAACCTTTGTATGTGTATTCATCATGGTATCCCCAGTTCCTTGTATTCATATAGTAGATACTTATTGAAAACAACACTTAAAAAATCTATCATTGTAATAGTTTATGCTCTTATAATATCTTACCCTGTTTAGAAGGTATGCCTTACCTTACAGCTTTGGACACACTGTTCTCTTTGCCTGGACCAACTTTCTCCTGAATGATTACTTCTTGATCTTCAAATCTCAGCTGAAACCTCACCTCTTCATGGAGACCTTCCCTCACCAATCTAAATGAGTGAGTTATTTTCTATTACTTTACCTTTTTTTTATTTCATGGTGCTCATCATGATTTATAGTTATATGTTGATTTTTCTCTCATTTACTTATTCAATAGCTAAGTTGAGGGCAGGAATGTGCCATCTATTACCTGGCGAGGTATTGGAATAATTCTATATTTTTTTCTAAATAAATAGAAGTTTCACATGTAAATGTTTGGCAGATGTCTCTCTAAATATACTGTATGTTTTTTTAGGCATGAATGCTGTAGTATTTTAGTATTTAACATGCTTCTTTATATACATTAGGAGTTTATATATTTTTTTATTAAATGAATATTTAATGTTTTAGAGTCATCAAAAGGAACTTTTGCAATGTCTTATTATATAAAGCCTGACATTTATATTCTTGATTAGAAAAAAAAAATCCAAGTGAGAAATTGCATATCTAAAACAATAAAACATCAATTACCAAAACATAACTATATAAGTTTTATTCAGTAAGTATTAAAGCCTGGTATGCAAAGGTGCTATTGACTTTTCTGAATTAGATGGGGACCATGTACTTGAGCCATTTTATTGTAACTGGGGTGGCCCTCAACAGATTAGGGGATGTTACTATTGGATTTCAATCCATCATGAGAAAAGATGATTGACACCTCTACTCACCTATTAGGAGTACAGCAAATCTAAAACAGTCTCCTTTCCAGAGGTCCCTAGGGCTAATCGAACATAGCTAGACCCTTAATGCTACCCCAAGAATGAATAGGTCCCCAGGGACGCTAAGGCCCATCCTCTCCTGAAGCTCCTGGGCAGAGTCACCAGACACTCGTGAGCCCAGGGGCTAAGCTGGGTTCTCTGTTAAGGGTACTATTGGGTACATTGGGATGATGCCTCTTTAAAACTATTCTTCCTTCACTTTATTGGTACAGTCACTTCCTACGCTCCAGGACAGTGTAAGGGAAGAAAGATAATTTGCATCCTATCCTTCTAGGGTCCTGGCTGAGACATACCCCTCTGTAATAAAAGATTAGCAGGAGAAAATAAAACCAAAAGTTTAATAACATGTATACCTTCTGTATACATGGAAATACCCAGAAAAACTAAGTAAAATTACCCCAAATGGCCCAACCAATTCTCTTAAATACCCTTTCCAGCTAAAGACAAAAGAAGATTGTGAGGTGGGGAGAAGGGAGCCAGTTATGGGAGGTTGTCAGGCAAAGCATAGTAACAAGGGCAGGGTTGTTATGCAGACTGAAGTTGCTACCTTTTCCCTGGACAAGAGTTTCTGGAGATTTAGGGTCATCCTTCCCTTCCTGGTACAAAAAAAGAGACACCTTTACAAATGGGGATTTTCTTTATAAATGTAATGTTCCTAACAAAAAGGCAACTTCTACTCTGTTTTCAGAGATTCTCCAGTGTCTGCTGTTTCTCAAAAATAATCAGTTCAATGTAATGACCCAGAGGCATACTTTGGGGTGACATATTCTGATCCCATTCAACAGCTTCAGGGGGTGGGTCAAAAATGACAGGAGTGTTGGCCAACTCTTGGGCTCAGAGCCAACTCTCCCAATCCTAGGGCGGCTCTTATTTTAAAATAAGATAAAAGTTCTGCTTTCTTTCCAAAGATAATGGAACCACCAAGTCACACCAATCTTTGCTGTACAGCAACTTTTGATAATTCCAAGTACTTTTCTCTCCTGAGGGTAGGAATGATGAGTCAGTGTTTGCAGAGTGCACCCCACTTCAGTCACTCACCTAGCCTCCTTTGAGATAAACCACATTTTTAAAAATTCTTTTAAGGCATCTTTCTTGCTAAGGAAAAGATCCCAAATTTAATCTGTTTTAGGAACATCCAAATATAGTAATGTTAGGCGAGATTGGATGTTTGCAGTTACAAGGTAAGGAATGATACATGCTAAAGGTATTAGAATATGCCTCCCCAAAACATGCCTCTTTGGCATATGGATTATTTTAAGCTAAAGGCCATTGAGAATAAGCCAAAGCAGGAAAATCTCTCAAAACAAGGCATAAATTCTCCTTTTGTAAATTAAATTTCTGCTTATAGAGATGTCACCCTCTCTAGCATCAGGAAGACTCTTAACTCTTGTCAATGAAAAGGGCACCTACTTAAATCTGCATGACAAACCATACTAAACAACTCCTGTTTACCACACTCTCCCTGGTCACCTTCCCTTAACTGCCTCCTTTGCCCAGAAACCCATAGTAATAAACTTTTTTTTTGTTGTTGTTAATCTGTCTTTGGCTAATCTAATTTTCAGAGTCCCAAACTGGAGAATCTAAAATGAGTAGAAAAAATTATATTTTTCTTCTCCTACAGTACTGTAAAATTAGAAATACATAAATAACATATAACACCAGCTCATGGTAGAAATCACATTTACTTGTGGAAATTGGGACAATTATGAAGAAAATGGTCTTGAAAGTCCACCTTGAGAACAGGACAAAACTTGAACATGTAGAAAGGTGGCAAAGATCTCCAAGTGAACAGATGTAAAGGCACAGAAAGGACGTGACTGGGGAAGAGAACTGGAAAGTCAGTGCTAGAGCCGGATCACGGACATCCTTGACTAGCAAATGAAGCAGACTCAACTTCAGTCGGAAAAAAGAATTTTAAGAAGGGCTATGATATATGTATAGAAAGGATGGATTCAGGAACATGTTTGGAAACTATTAAAATATTCCAGGAGAGAAGTTAATGAGAGTCTGATTTAGAGTAGAAGCAGTGGGAAAGAGGAGAAATATGGACTGTATTAAGAGGTACAGGGACAGATGGTGCTGGAGAGAGCAGAGTTAAAGGAGCTGCTGGTTCCTGAAGGAAGGATTAGCAGGCATCATAGTGCAACTCACCCCAGAGATTCAGAATCTGGTTCTGCCTCAGGGAGCAATCATTTTAAACATCTTTTCCTAAAAATTTCCTGAATTTTTTTTCAGAGTTAGAATATAACTTATACAAAACCATTTCACCTGCCCAGAGGTCTTCTGTGGACATGCTTTCTGTCAGGTGCGATTGCTTTTTTTTGCCCAGCGGGCAAAAATTTACTTTGAGGCATCTATCCTCAAGAATTGTTTGTCCTTTCTTTTATTAATTAGGGAAATAAGAGTTCAACATGTAGTAGCTGTTAAAAGAGGCTAACACTTTATAAGTTGGTTTCATATACTTGTTTTCGTTTTATCTTGATCATAGCACCATTAGAGAGGTTTTGCTGCTCTTTCATACGTAACTGTACTTTGTTTAGCTGTCATCGAAATTATCTGTGAAACCAGAGAATAATAAAAAGCTACCCACAAGCAGCTGCAGCAAACCCGGTAATACAAATCCCAATGGACATACATGGGCACCTGTAGTTTTAAAGAATGTGAAACAAGGACCACCAGCATGCTGTGTCAGAGCCCAGGTTCTGTGGTCAGATCTGGGCATAAGTACCTTTTCAGGCAATTACCAGCTGCACGATCTGGGCAAGTTACTTAGCTTCTCTGAGCTTTAGTTTCCTGGTCTACATATGTAATGGGGTTACAGTGATCAATTTCATTAAGTGAAAGGACAAATGGTGGAATCAGTAACAGCTCATGCTGCATTTCTCGTTTCCTTAGTGCTAGACATTCACTAAGTTTCATATGCAATATCTCAGTTCATTCTCAAAATAGCCCTGGGGTAGGTACTAGCAGTTTTTCCATGTTATGGACAGAAAATTGAAGGCCTTTGAAACATTAATTTGCCTAAATTACAAAGCTAGTAAAGTGCCTAAACTGGGACTTAAGTCTTTGTTGGCTGATATTAAGTTGGTTCTTGTAACCATTATTCTATACCGTCTTTGTAAAGTACTTAATACAGTGGCCAGAAGGCAGTAAGTAACAAATATATAATATTACTATTATTTTCTTTAGTTTCAAATCAAATTACAACTTCAATGGTATATATATGTACTCTGCAAATTATTTAATGGATCTAAAGTTTAAAAATGTCAAGCAGAGAAGAATTAGATGAAAGCAACAGATTTTAGAGGATTAAAGTAATAAGATACAAAATAGAATTTAGAATAGATTAAAGAATTAAAGAGAGAGAAGTGATGGAGTGGGGGAAGGACCAGGAAAGGAGCACCATCATGATACCATTTTTGCCACGTGCCTTAATGAAATGGGAGGGCAATGGTTGCAGCAGACCCATTTGCAGCTGGGAGTCTATACTACAGGCAACAAATGATGGCACCACCACCAGGATGGGCAGTAGGCCAGCCGTCTTATTGTGCAGACTGGCTGAGGGGATAGTGTGAATTGCACAGAAGATTTGTTGTTCACCAGTACCCTGGAAGGAGACCAAGGTAGAAACCCTGAGAAGAAAATGGTAAAAATAGCGATACAAGATTCTGTGGGATTCTTACTAAAGTGTTCCACACCACAAGGGTCTATGAGCAGTCAGTGGCTTGAAGAAAATAGTGCACTGGAGCCGCCAGCATGCTGGAGAGAGAGAAGCCTTAGCTTGTGAAA